TTTTTTTTTTTTTTTTTTGTTTCTTTAATAACACTGTCAGTAGCTAGGCATGTAATTTCCAAACTGCCTCTCCCTTCCCCCTGGGAGGTGTGAGAGCTTTCCAGGAGGGTGTATGATGCCTTAAAAAATGTCTGAGCTCAAACACTCAGATTTTTAATGTTATTTTTTACTGTTAAAAAAATAGAACTCTCAGTGTCTCGGCATTGATCATCACCAACTAAGGAGAACTGCACAAAATTTTTGTTATTAAATATTTGGTTTTTAATCACATTTTTGGAATGGGGGTGCTAGGGCCCCCATAAAACAGTTGTTCTACCTGTATTCAGATTAAAACTTTAGTAAATGAAGTTTTATTATGTGCTCTTTATTACTGTGGTGTTAGGCTGACACTGTTTTTATTTTGGAGATGATTTGAGGAGGTTTAAGAAAATGAAAAGGAAAGAATTAAAATTATAGTTTATGTCATGATGTATATTTTACAGTCTTCCACATATGTACAAATACAAAAGTAAAAAAAAAAATATGAGTTGATCATGAACTATAATATAAATATGAGTGCAAAGAGTTGAATTTATTTTAATCAAGAATGGAGGGGTGTGTGAATGTTTGGTGAAAACCAAAAGGGGAAGGTCTTATTAAAAAGTCTGAGAACCACTCATCTGAGCTGTATGGTGTTGAATGGCAGGATAATGGGTGATTTGAAAAGAGGCAGGCACAGCTTAAATTGAACTTCTGTTCTGGAATTTGCCTGGAGAGGCTGAGGAAAACTGTGAGATCCTGTCAGGATAACTGGTGTTGTGGCCAACATTCATTGTGTCTAGACCATAACTGCTATGCAAATCAGCTCAATGGTTTTGTGCCCTAAATTACAGATGTAGATGCATGCTGTAGTGTAGTTGGTTGAGGCACTGTGTTACAGCCAGAAGGTCGCAGGTTCGATTCCCAGTGTCATTGGATTTTCCATTTGACCTAATCCAGCGACACTATGGCCCTTGGGTCGACTCAGCCTCTGACAGATATGAGTACCAGGAATTTTCCTGGGTGGTAAAGGGCGGCTGGCACACAAGGCTGACAACACCATCACCATCTGTGAGCTGACTGTTTAGGAAATGTTGGAACCTTGATGTCCCATGACCTATGGCCCTCCGCGGCTTTACAGGGATGGCTTTACCTTCAACTTACGAGTACATGGTACAGATTCATTCAGCTTTCCTCTCATTTGTGGAGTACAGAAATTGTTTTAATTTTTCATAGAGTTATTTGCATCACCAACTCCTACAAGGCCTGTTACCAGGGAGGAACCCGAGAAGATTAAAAAATGGCGTGAAGAGCAAAAGAAGCGATTAGAAGAGAAAGGTAGGGTATAGAATTTTAAAAGACCATTACTATGTAGTAGCCTTGTGCCTTCTACTAGCAGAGACTAGGAAGGTTTATATGATCATAACTGATCTTCACCACAGACGCTGATATGTTGTGGGTTAACTCTTTTGCTGCTTGTTATTTTCTTAACATTTTCCGAAAATGATTCAGTTTTAAATGAAAAATGTTTAAAAAGTGCAACAGAAATGTTTCTTAATAGTAACCGTTATATTAGGTGGAAGAAATGCCACTTTTCAATATAAAGTTCAAGTTTTAAGTTTGTTTTCTGTTTATGGTGTTTCAGTTTAGTCCTTATTGCTCATGTGGGAGCCTGATATATTTTAGCTGAATTTACCTTGAGGTTAAGTATAATAGGAGCTGCTTCTCCTTATTTTTACTGATATTTCAGATGCAAATGAGGAGAAAAGAAAAGAGGAGCTACGGGAAGGAGCCAGAAAGGAACTGGCTGAGTGGTATCGCCATCACGAAGAGCAAATTGCAAAGACAAAGACAGCAAACAGGTATGGTTTTTTCCATCAGCTCTTAAGTTTTTAATTACAATGGAAGTCAGTTGTAACAAGAGTTCATAACAGCATTAGTAATTGCTACTATAATTAATACAATGTAGAGCCATTTAGAACATGAAAATTTATAAAACACTTCAGAAATCAGATAATGAATATGTATGCTTATCTTATTGTAACCAGTAAATTGAATGTGTTCATAGGGAAGAAGTGGCTGTTCTGCAGTATAGAAACCATGTGAATCATAGTCAGATTTGAAGTCAGTGCACAAACAAACAATTCCATATTTATTTAATAGAAATGTATATTATTCCTTTGAATACTGTGAAAATGATACTGGGAACCATCATCTGCATTGTACCAGTTATTAAACAGATATCATGGCCATGGTTGCAGTTAGTTGTATGCCTTAACCTCCAAGTATTGCCAGTTTGCATTTTTTCTCCGTTGGTATTCAGTTTCCTGAACACTAAATAAAACTTGTATTATGTCTGGGTTTTAAGATCTGCTACTGGTAATAGTAATTGACTATCTCTGCCTTCTTTGATTGCTTGCTTTGCCTCCACTTTGGCCCTCTCATTAACTTCAACTCCACAGTGCCCCGGGATCCAGTAAAATTGGATTTTTTTTTCTCACAATTCTAGTCTATTTCATCTTTTAGCATAGATGTAATGTGCGACATGTTGCTTGTTACAGAGGAATTACTAATGCCTTTTAACACGCTTGCCAAGTCCGAGAAAATCATGAAATTTTGCTCCGAGTGTATTTTTTCAATGATATCTAGTGTTTCAGCAATTGCTAATGCTTCCACCATGAATGTTGGTGCTATCTTAGATATCCTGAATTTCATGCTACAACCATCTTTTATGTCTGTTGATGCAAATCCTATGAATGATTTGTCCTCCATTTTTGAGCCATCCATGGCGAAACATTTGCTGGTTCTCATTATTTCTTGGAAAATCTTCTTGAATTCCTTGTTGTGATCTTCTGATACCTTTATTTGTCTTCCCTCATCGAAAAATACCCTGGTCTCGTAGAAGAGGCTTCTGTATGTGTAGTTAAAGGCGGGGGACAGTTCCCTGATTAGATTAAATGACTGAGAGGGGTTACCTCTTTGTATATGTCGTACTCATAACATTGCACTTCTCCTGTATGTAATAGTGTTAATTTTTAAGTTATGACAGGTACAGAATATTGAAGGTTCAGTATAAACAGTGAGTTACAGTAATACATTTTATTCTATCTTTTCTTGCTACCACAGAGAGGCTGCTAAGTAAGTATGAACATGGTTAATGTCCTTCTAGTCTGAAGCATGAGATTTTAAGAAAGAGTGGGACTGACTGAAGTAATTTAAAGGTTGTGGCCATTGAATGATAAAAAAGCATGCATGCTCAACATGTATGTCAGGTTGCAGGTTTATTTCCTATACTTTTGCCTTTACAAAACTTTCAATGCTAGGCACTGTGCAAACCTGGATTTTCCTAAAGAAAACTGAGGCATTTGATAACCTTACTTGTAATATATTTATTCTGTAACTTCAGAAATGTATTTTCAAATTTTTAACACACTGAGGACCGGTTGCATATCATGCGTTTGGCTTTTAAATGTGGCAGACCGGTCACATGATATCATGATTTCAGGACACGTTAGGTTGTAACACACTATACCCTGCTCTGGCGCCATCCAAATGATTGACTACTGCGTAATATTACTCCGGAATGTTTGTATAATAGGCAGTAACTTGACCTCGCTGTTTCGGTTTATCCTCCAAAGGAAAATGATCTTTGACCCTTCAAGCTGTTATGTATCAGACAGGAAGTTAGTGCAATATGAATCAAGGACAGAAGCAGTTGAAGACAAAGCGATCTCTCGGAGAACATGAAATATCTTACTTGTTCTCCAATGAGCTATCTGACGTTCCTTCTGAGAGGAGTAGTGAAAGTGACTCAAACAGTGGCAGTGACAGGGGACAACAAACAGTTGTGGCCACAGACAGTAAACGTGAAAGTAGCTCCAACGAAAGTGCAGGATAGTAAAATTGTGGGGACAGCCACATTGGGAAAAGTAGACAAAATGCCTATTTTGGGACAGTTTGCTGGAAATCCAGGGGTGAAACAAATTCCATTGGACCCAACGTGGTGAAACCACATTCAGAAGGAAGGGGGACATTCTTCTTCAGTCCTGGATGGATACTTGTGTTGTGAATATGATTTCCACAATTCACAATTCGAGCATGGTTGATGTTGAAAGGAGACACGGACAAGTAAAGAAGCCTATTTGTATTTCTGAGTATAATATGTTCATGAAGAGAGTTGATAGAGCCGATCAATACTTGGCCTATTATTCTCTTCCTAGGAAAACAATAAAGTGGACAAAGAAAGTTGCCTTGTGGTTTATAAATTGTGCCATTTTCAATTTATAAAAATCTAAACCCTGATTCAAAATTCAAATACAAAGCATTTCCAATGAATGTGGCAAAGGCCTGGGCTACAGACCAGATGGTGGCGGCAGAACGAGAGTCAGACACAGACTTAGTGTGACCGGGCCCATCAACTCCCACCCCACGCAGGCCTCATGTGGACTCCCCTGGGTGACTCTCGGGTGATATTTGGAAACATACACTCGTGAAAATTGTGAAGAGTGAACATTCCAAGGGGAAGCATCCTTCTAGGCAATGCCATGTTTGCGCAGTTCACAGAAAAAGGAGTATGACTGCCTACATTTGCAAGTTCTGTGTAATGCCACTTCACAAAGGGGAATGTTTCCAGAAATATCACACTCTCAAGGACTTCTAGGAGCATTGGTAAGTGTTCTCCAAAAATTTTAGTTCATAAAATTAATTAGATTTTGTATTAATTTTTAAAGTGAACAGTGCACAAGTTAGGGTCCCCCGGGTGATTTAAATTGCCGGTCCTCAGTGTGTTAAATCTTGTGGGGAAAGACAAAGAAAGAACTCAAAATAAAACACAACCATTGTCTTTACACAATATCTTGCTTAAATTTGTATGCAATGCTTGCTGTTTTTTAATACAGTATCCATTTTAAAGGGATTTGCAAGTGCTGTTTATTTTGCAGTGAAAAGAATAACTGTTTATTGTATTGTTGTATGCTAATAATAATAATAATAATAATCATCATCATCATCACCACTGAAGGCCTTTCTGCCAAGGATGAAGTTAAAAGTCCAGTGTTTCAGTTTTTCACATGTGTTCTGGATGAAATTCGGTAAGGTACCAAATTTATCAGGTAAAGGTAAAGTTGTCCCTGTATGAAGCTGTATGGGGGAGTAGAGGTATAGCTTCACTATTCTTTACCTCAGCACTGGATGGAGGTGAGTGGTCAGGTTCACATCCCCTCCCCTGCCTCTTTATCCCTGGGGAAAGTCTCCACCCATTGGGTGGGAGGCTGGGTTGGCTCCAGAGCCAGTCTGGATGTTGTGGAATAGACAAAAATGTCTTGCTCTTGTCTGGGTTTGAAACTCTGTTTTATTACTCTATTGCTTCTCATAGGGTCTGCTACCACAAACCAAGGGTTGTTTTCTTCTGTTGGAAAGATCTGTACTGTTTTGTGACAAATAGGAGTCTGGTAGACTACAGCTTATAGCTCCTTGCAGGACAGTTTGTTAGCTTTCAGACCATGCTTGATTAAACAGAATTATTATAGCCATTCATTATCAACAATATCAAGGTTTGGACTCCTTGATCCATTCCATTCCTCTATATGATCACTAGCTCCTCCCAGTGTAACTTTGGACATCCAATACATCTTGTTCCTCTAGATATAGAACCCATTAACTGTTTTGGAATACGTTCAGGTTCCATTCCTTACCTATTGCATTTTATTTATAACTAGCTGTACCCGACCACGCGTTGCTGTGGCAGATCGAGTGAATTCAAAAATTTTGTTGGATAATTAACCGCTTCATCTGCTTCCACAACAGTGTCGACGGACTTGTATGTGACTGCCTCGCAGTGAATGTTAGACTGAATGATATTGTTAAGTTCGTAGACGTCTTTGTTCTTGGCCGCAAGAATAGCTCGTTCACTCAGCCAATCGTGATTCTTATAATTGGTTTGAATATTGGGAAATACTTTTTCAGCCAATTCTTCTTTTGACGTCACTAAATTGCAGAAGTTATGAGGCAACGAAATTTGTCCTGAGGTCAGATCAACCGGCACCTTTCCGTTCCCAATTTCCAGCAATTTATGCGAGAATATCTCAGCTGATCGATTGTTTTGCAGCTGGACATGCATATTTGTAGTTAATTTTAACATCTTTACGTGTCGCCACAAAGTAGAGTACTTCAATCAAGCATTTATTTTTTTCGCTGGTGTCGATCGAAGAATTACAGATAATGTTTGCCTGAAATCTCCTGCAGGCAATATTAATGCGTTCCCAAATGGTCTGATGTTTCCACGCAAATCTTTGCAATGATCGATGAAGAGCGTCGAGCGATTTTTTGTGCACCATTGTGCATTCATCCCAAACAATAAGTTTGCATTTCTGCAATACCCTTCCCATGCCTGATCCTTTGGAAATGTTGCACATGGGAGTTTCAATGAATTGCATGTTCAATGGCAATTTCAGAGCGGAATGAGCAGTTCTTCCACCTGGTAGCAATGTCGCAGCTATTCCAGACGACGCAAGAGCTAAGACTATGTCATTTTGGGATCGAATTGCTGCCAGAATCAATCTAATTAGGAACGTTTTACCAGTTCCTCCTGGCGCATCTAAGAAGAAGAATTCTGCAATCCCGTTTTTGACAGTTTGCATTATTTGATCGTAAATGCCTTTTTGCTCAAGCGTTAGCTTAGGAATATTTGATTGCACATATGACAAAAGATCACCCGTTTTGTAATTTTGTTCACGACGCAATTCTACATTGAACGAAGCAGCAGCAGATCAATTCGGTGATGGCATTCCCAATTGATTGAAAACTTTGTTCGCGATTTCTAAGCACAAATCTTCAGTCATTATCAATGCTTCGTTGCAGATTTCTGCTGTGAAATCCATGTTCATATTGGAATTTTCCTAGCGTGTTCGATGGAAAATATCTTCAGCCATGTGCGATTTATATTTCTCCCATAACTCTGTTGGAGATGAAGGAGAGCAGGCGGTCGATATGATTGCAAACAATGCACGAATTTGATGTGGATGTGACGTGTTGCACGCATCAGTAATGCATGTAGCGTGTTTGGGTATGTCACGCTACAAATAACTTTAGGCCGTATTAATTATAGCGATTCTTTTTTGTAATTCACTTGCACACTTTACAATTATCGCCACTTGCAGTATTAGAGTTACTGGTTGCACAATCTCTCGGCCAATACTTCTTCTATCTCTTGGCGTCTAGGTTCCAACCTTCTTCAGTGGCAGCTATTCCATGACTGACCGGGCGAATGAATTCAACCCCCCTTTTATACCCTCGGCTGCTGCTATGCAAATGAGCCTTTGTCATAACCGCAGAAACGCTGCTTTGTTGATTCCACGATTCCTACGCAACGACCCATTGTTATTGCCTTGTCTCTGTGGGAACGCTCTGTGTATTCGTCATAACCGTGGAGATTCGATACAGTATTGTTATTGTTACTTCCTATGCAAAGGTCTGTTCTAGCGTTTCCATAGGGGTGACTCTTCTGAATTCCAAATTCCAATTCTGTTTTTCAAAAGAAGCATGTTTTTACCTGTCACAGGTGTGACATCTATATAATAGGTATATAAAAACGCACGCATTCGAATGCAGCGTGTCAAAATTTCGAAGCAATCAGTCAACTTTCGGAGGTTTAGGATCCTGATCAAACGAACATTTACATTTTTATTTATATAGATTTTACTGGAAGATTTTTCCTTATCTCTTGTATTTAATTTAAATTTATTTGGTATACTTTTTCTTTATTTCATTCAAATTTAGCTGGTGCAGTGTTATTTGGCCCTATGTATTTCATTCTGAATTGAGTTAAAAAATGGAAGAAAAACCTGTGTCATATTTACAGTAAAACAGATTACTCTTATGTATATCAGTTTTTGTGTTAAGCAAGAACACGTTGAAATTCTAGGGCATGTAGAAGTTCAGAGGGTTATTTCAAAGTAATGAGTTATTTTTCAGTGTTGAATGTAGCATGAATAATGGGTAGTTCTAGATATTTGGATTATCTGTTATTTCTAATTATCCATGCCACTTCTCCCCTCAATTCCTGCAAGTAATTTGAGTTCATTGTACCAAGATTTAGATCAGAATTATTACATATTTACAGACACACACACAGAACTTACAGCAGGTGCTAATGTGTATTTGTGAAGTGCACAGGATTAGAACTGGTAGACGTTCCATGTCAGTAGATGTTTATGTGGGCTTCTTTTTTAGTGTTCATTTATGCCTTACAGAAATGCTGAGAAGCAGTTTGTGGCAGAATCAGATGAAATTGAGCCAGGCACAGAGTGGGAACGCATTGCCAAACTGTGTGATTTTAATCCAAAATCAAGTAAGACCAGCAAGGATGTATCTCGAATGCGGTCCATAATTCTGCAGCTGAAGCAAACTGCACCTGCTCCAAAGCGTACTTGAAATGTGTTATGTTATAAGTATACCATGAATGTTCTGAAATATGCATTTGTTAATATGTGAAACTGTTAATTTATATTAAACAATGGAAAGATGCTTTATTTGTGAAACTGGATATATTAGAATAAACATTAACTGTGATGTAGAAACATTTATTTTCAATACAAAATTACATAATATAAAAAGTAAGTAATGAACTATGAACATCATATTTTACATTCTTTTCACATGGTGTAAGTCCAAAATAGCTGCTTTACTTTTGGCTTGGCAAGCCAGTTATCTAATGCAATTATGGCTGCATCTGTAAATAGAAATTTGACAGAGTAAATGTAAAACTGGTATCAGTAATTAGCAATCTCAAAGTGCAGTGCTATGAAACATGCAGATTTTCATGTAGAACATTCAGTAAAATGTCAGTTCCCAACTGAAGAAATAGTACTGAATGCACAGTATTTAATAATAATGAACAAATATAGAATGTTCTTTTAAATGTTATAAAATTACTATTTCAGTTGTGTATTCTTCATATATCATATTTTTACTAAGTACAAGTAGGTATTATCATGTGTCTCATCCTAGATTCGTGGACTTACAGAATGCATTAAAACATGTCATGACCAGAATATTTGGATGTAAGGCCCAGAGTCCAGCTAAATCAGTCTGAGTTTAACTGAAGTGCACAAATAGGACAGACACTTTGTAAAACAAACTGCTGTATCTGCCAATGTATAAGACATGGGTTTTTCCTTCAAAAAGGTTCCATCTTATACACAGGAAGTAACACTGAAAATTACATAAATATGAGAACCATGTTTAACGTAATGGAACTGATGTTCTTGGATGTAGGAAAAAACACTGTGGCTGTAGTCATTTCTGGAAAAATCGAGACCTCACGAAGAAAATGTTTATGCTTTGGAACGTATATATATTTAATTTTACTTTTGTTCATTATCTAAGGCAGATTCATTTACTTTCATTTATAGTGAATATTTTTCTTATACTTGATTACTGCATTTTTTTCTGTGAAAGAAGGAATAAAAACAAATGTTCTAGATAAGATACATGTTAATTTCTTCTCCCTGAACCATTATGCATCTTTATGACAGGACGTACAGCATAATAATTGCTGTCATTGGAGACCTGCCGTCAGTACTGTACGCAAGATGACGACTCCGATATCCGAGGTACAAAATGACATAAGGTGGGTCAAAAAGTCCAATGATCATGAATATCGAAATGCTTCCACAAGAAGTTACAGGGTATAAAATGTCTGGCCATCTGCATCTTGCATTTCCAAAACTGCTATAGAGGTGTTGATAAAGTTAGGTTTCAGGTCATTATGCTAAGTATTTGAATGATTACATTTTCGCCAATAAAGGATGTAGGGGAAAATTCATGTATTTAAGGGCATTGAGAAAAAGTGGCTGATTATATACATATATTGTGATTGAAGTCAAAACATTGGTCAAGCAGAGAAAATTCTCANGGCATATGTGAGAATGACTTTTTCAGTCAAGATGAGAATTGAAGAAAGCAGTCTTCTGGGATTTGGCAGACTGCTTCTACCGTTCTCACGGTCTTGTCGCTTGCAGAATTCTTACACTTTTTCTTCTACCCTGAAGATGGAGGCGATATGATCCTCCGAAACGTCGGTTAACACCACATATACACGGTGCCAAATCCCAGAAGACTGCTTTCTTCAATTCTCATCTTGACTGAAAAAGTCATTCTCACATATGCCTAACTGAAATACAAGGAATAATTAGTGACACCTTTTTGTACCAGAATATTTGTTACGTTCATAGTGGACTGATAAAAAGTTATCCCTGTGCTTAACTAATCAAGCACTACACCATGAAGGCATGTGAGACAGCGGATGTGTGGATCCACTTTTTTCCCCTCAGCAGTATCTGCAGGTGAGTGTGCTTAACCCCCCAGGAGAAGAGCCCCTGTTACCCATTGGATAGGAGGCTGGGTGGTCCCTGGAAAAGATCTGGGTGATGTAGAGAAGAGAAAATTCTGTACCCTAGCAACACTCAGGAACTTCTGACTTCTCCATTGTCCAGACCACAGCCAGTCGCTATACCAACTGCACCATCCCAGCTCTTAGTGGACTGATACAAACTAAAATTAATCTGCTGAGTAATTTTGAAGATGAAATATGTAATGGATAGACAGTTTACTGTACTACTGTTTATGGAAATATTTCTGGGCCTATATTCACCAGGAATTTTGATTCAGTGTGATATCCTGAAGCTTCTCTCGTCATTTATTACCATTTCCAAATATCCAGAGACCATCTGGGGACACTGAACATTTCATTCACATTAAATTGAAAGTATTATATTTCAGCATCCTTTTGCATTGATGTATAACTTATAGTCTTGTTTTCCATCTATAATGCATTATAGACAGAAATAAAAGACTATAAGTTAAAACGAAAAGTTTAATCTTGTCTGAAACATTTTCGGGCGTGTAACAATTCTGTATCAACCAAGATCATATGGTATCAAATTACAGATATGAACATTGGAGTAGGTGCTGTTGTGAGTTTCTTCATTTTTTCCTTCAAATGATTATGGGAAGGGACTTTGGAGGAAACTCACATAGTCTGAAGCCTAAGGTGTAATCAATGAACCACATGAATGGATGCAAGCTAAAGTTCTGATTCTTGCCTTATTCCTGAGCATAATGATTTTGAAGAAAAGTTCACCTGTAAACAGTTCAGCAGAAATATTATAGCATTTCCATTTCGTGTGTATTATCATATGATATGGCATGTAGCAGTATTTTGAATAAAGTGAATTCTTCCTGTTTTTAATGGGGAAGAACATAACTACAGTGGAACCTTGCATAATGAGCAAAACAAATGGTAAAAAAATGACTTGCTTAATGAGTGACGTTTTGCATGACGAGTGACGAGAGGGGAAGTCCCGGATCGTGTGCTTGCTACATCAGTCTGTGTTTAGCACTCGTTCCGCTAGCATCATAGTGTCGCTTGTGATCACACATTTTTCCAAACTTGTGTTCAGACATATTATTTGTGATTTTTTTTTGTGCAAAGTTTAATAACCCTTGCAAAAAATGTCCCCAAAGAAAAAGCCACAAAAAGACAGCCACGAGAGAATAAAAACCGTAGAAATGAAACGTAAAATCATTGAAAAGTGAGAACTAGGTGTGAGCGTGGCTGATCTAGCACGCACATACAATCGGTCTACATCAACGATTTGCATGATTTGGAGTTGCATTGTGTTTCACAGCAAGAAGTTGTGGAGGAGAGTTTGTCAGAGGAGGAGGAGGAGGTAACAGCAAAGCAACAATCTTCTGGCACAATAAGAGAAATGCTGAAAGCATGGGAAACTGTTGCATCATACATTGAGAAGCATCACCCTAATAAGGCAGTGGATATGCGCGCAAAACAAACGTCTCTAGACAGCTTTCTAGTAAAAAAAGAATTAGATATATATCATAAATAATAAACTATTTCGTTTTTTTTCTGCAAATCAAATTCACATTCCAGGTTGGTTCATTCTGCATAGAAGAAAAGATGAAGATGATTCACGCTCCTTAACAATGTATATAAATTTTCTGTGAATAAACTTTATACATAAAATTTTTTGAGTATTTTTTCGGCATGGAACGCATTATCGTATTTTACATTAATTTATATGGGAAAAAATGTTTCGCATTACGAGTAAGATTCTGGAACGAATTATGCTTGTTAAGCGAGGTTCCACTGTACTTACAAATGCCACTTTGAAATAAGAATTTAATATGTACATTGATGCAATTTACCTACTGTCTGATTAATGAAAGACTTCTTCAGTCCAGTCCACAGCCAAGGAACTGAGAGGTTAAGATAAGATAGGTAAATACAATGTGGAACCAAAACAGAGTATAACACTTGGAGAAATTTTATAAAAGAGATTACTTTGAAAATGAAGATCCTAGATAGGACAGTATTCAGACACTGTGGTTAGACTTGATTTGCTTAACTCTGGGGGCATCCAGGAATCACTTTTCCTGTTTTGACAAGCATTCATGTGTCATAACTGTAAGGAATAAACACTTAGTCTGATGTTTCAAGAGCGAGAGCTTCAGTACACATTAAAACGTCCATACCTTGAATGTTTTCTGTTTTCACAATTTTGTATTTGAACTCTATTTCTAAGAGCCCATTAGTGTGGTCTCCTAACAGCCTCCAGACAGAAGTGAATAGTTATATTTATAAACCCAGATCATAAGTTATGTTTTCTAATAATGTATTTTCACATGTTAGTGACTAGACATGGGGTTTGGATTGATAATTGGATTTACTGAACACTCATAACTTGCAACTACAAACAATTGTAATGCTGCTGTTAACCTACACACTTAATGAATCATTACACTGTATGCTATGTCTTCACTAAGCCGGTCACAGTAGCCGAGCAGTTTAAGGCATGTACTGTCTTCGCTCGCTTGGAAACCAGAATCGTGGGTTCAAATCCCACTCAGGGCATGGATGATTGTGTGCGTTTTTCTGTTTGTGTACGGGTAGAGGCCCTGCGACGAGCTGATCGCGCGCCCAAGGAGTCCTACCGAATGTGTAAGATCTAGAAAAACCGAAACGAACGGAGAAGTTCATGGAGGTAGGCCTAGGCCCACTGGGGCTGTAGTGCCAAGGGGGAGAAAAAAAATGTCTTCACTAGTTGTTGCTTTGGTAGCATTTCCCAACAATGTCCTCTTCTTTTAACTCTTCTCATGGCATCACTAGGCATCACTAGGCTACTCCATGGCTTGTCCAGTTGTCATTATATAACCTTGTCACGGACCACATAGAAGATACCACTTTCAGCAGTTTCTCAATTTTGGCATGTTGATTTCATTGCCATGATGCATGTTTATTGAGCTGTTACCTAGCAGTGGAGAGCTTCTCTTGTTAAACTATTCTGTCGTCATGTCATAGTATAAATGATGGATCAGTGAGTTGGAAAAGCACCTACAATTACTACTACTACTGTTTCCATTTTATACAGGTTGAACCAGTGCTGTCATTTTGATATTGAAAGCACTGGCAAATAGCCTACAAAGAATATGTATACAGGTTGCTGGACAAAATGAGGTAGAAGGATAATATTAAAATGGCTCTTAAACAGGATGAGAGAGTATGGGCTGGATTCATCTGACTCACAATAGGGTCCAGTGGCAGGCACTCTTGTGAGCACAACAGTGAACCTTTGGGTTCCATAAGATGTACATATCTCTAAAAGCTGAGCAACTGTCAGCTTCTCAAAGAGACCTCCATTTAGTTAGTCAGATGAACACAAATTCCCCTAACTCTTCTGTTTCCTTTCTGATATCTAGGCAGCTCTTTCCTCTCTTGATATCTCTTAGTACCTGGCTGAGCTGAAACATCTTGTTCTGTGTCATCCAATAGGACTCTTTCAGCAGTAACACACCTAATTTGTATTTAAAAAATGTCTATGTGGAACCTTAAATCAGAGCTGACAAGCCTCCCTCAATCATTCCAGGCAAATGCTGATTTTATATAATGTCCTTGCAGGTGATACAGTATCATTAAATAACCTACAAATTATGAAATCTATAGGTGAGAATGAATATTTATTTATTCACACTTAATTTAATGATGCTGTCAGTAGCTCAGGCTAGAGGTTGGACAAAATAATGGAAATACTACAGAAACTTTACACATTTCTTTACTAATATGATGTTGGACCACCTTTTGTCCTCAGTACAGCTGCAGTACTTGGAATGGATTCATACAAGTTTTAAACAGTCTAGCAGAATTTTATACCATTCTTCTTGAAGAACATCTTCAAGTTGTTTTAAAGATGTTGGAAGTGAGAATCTCTTCCTCACTCTAGTCTCCAAAACTGACCAGAGTGGTTCAATTATTTTCAAATCTGGTGATTGTGCTGGCCAGGGAAGATGCTGAAGTTCACCTTCATGCTCTTCAAACCAACCAACCATGGCTGAACAGTTCCAGCTGTGTGAATGGGGACACTGTCATCTTTGAAGACTACATTGTGGTTTGGAAATAACGTCTGAATCATGGGATGCACCTCTTTACCCAACCTGTCCATGTACTCCCTTGCAGTAATTGGCCATGTATGGTAATAATAGGACCAACAGAATACTTTACCATGATACTGCTGTCTCAAACCATCACATAACCTGTGTTCTACTGTTGGAATTGAAGCAGGCATTCCGGATTGTAGGTTTCCTTTGCTGTTCTCCAAACGTAAACTCTTCCTCATGTAAGGAATAGCATGAAGAACAACTCACCTGACCACATCACATGCGAGTTTCCAGCTATCTGATATCCAGGTTTTATGGCTGTGACACCATCATTTACACATCTGAGCATTACTTTCAGTAATCAGAGGTTTCAAAACTGCAGCCCTACTGTGAATGCTGGATTTGTGAAGTTCATGTTGGACAGTTTTTGTGGAAATAGGGTCTTCAAGATGGATATTCAGTTCTGCTGTTATCTATGATGCAATAATTCCGTGATTTTTCAGAACAATCCTTCCCAGTGTATGACAATCTCTTTCTGTCAGTGTTGATTTTCACCCATTGTTCGTCTTCAGTGATGCTGTCTTCCCATGATTTGTTTATGCCAACATAACCTTAGAAACTGTCACTCTTGATATGCCTAATAATGTGACAGTTTTTGTCACAGATGTTCCAGCTAAACGTGCAACAATGATCTGTCCTTTCAAAATTGGACAAGTCTCCCATTTTCCGATTCTTTCACATGGACCGTCACCCAACACAGTCACTAATGTACTGATACAAGCACTACAGAGTGTAAACAAATGAAAGAAAAACATTCAGTCTTGCCAAATGAAGTTCTTTCAATGTTGCCAATACAAATAAATTCTATTCCTCAATTTCTTGGTGTTTCTATTATTTTGTCCACCCCTTGCTTACAGCCTTGAACGATAAGGTGACCAGTGTATAATGAATTTGAAGTCAGCAGTCATTGCTTAATCTGTGGTAGTATTCCAACATTTGCTTGAAGGGACATAATAAAATGGAAACCTAAGCATAATGGTTGGTATTCCAGCTGAGATTTCAGTCAGGCACCTGAATACAGGTCAGGAGTGTTACCATTTTAGCCAACTTACTCAGCACAAGTATATGAAAATGTGGCCCATTCCAGGGCCATTACCCGATATGGGAACTAGGTCTGTTGTCTGACTTTGCTTCAAAAGCTAAAGACTGCTGATTTCTCTGAATATTGGCAAACTGACCTCCCAATACAGGGTACTATCACTCAAATATGGAAACTTTACTCTCAGTATGCAGTAAAGTTACTTTAGGCCAACTTATATTTTCCTTCAAATTATCAGTGGGGTTAATAATCGAACATTATGACGACAAACTTTTAAAGATTATATTTTAATATTGGCTTGAAGTGATATGTTTTATTAAAAAATATAAAGATTTTATGGCAAAAAATTTGGACAGCCATAATTATAATATACAAAGAAAACTAAATTTACATGCAAATTATTGCAATACAGTTCCTTTTAATAAAAGTGTGATAAATATGGGAATCACCTTGTATAACAAGGTCCCTGAGCAGATAAAATTAAAGAACAATTTTAACTCTTTTAAAAGGGACTTAAAATCCTTTCTGTTGAAACATTCCATTTATTCCATTGATGAATTTATGTCCCTTTAGTTCTTAAGTGAGTGTGTTATGGTTTTATGTAATCACAAGTATCTTGTCCTCAAAAATTTTTGGATGCAGGGTTTCTTTTGGTTATTCAATTGCTGCAAGTGGGATGAAGTATTGTATGACTGATGTGTATGAAATCTGTAGGTAGTTAAGTTTTATAGTGTAGTTGACTCATGTACAATATGTATGTTACATTAATATGTAGTTATTGACTTGTTCTATATCCGGAGGTTGTGTCACCAAATATGGATTCTTGGAACAAATAAATCGATTGATTGATTGATCAGTGTGTCTGGCAGCCCAACATATATTCTCTTCTCTCACCATTTTGCACAGTATTATTGTATTTTTTTTTAGTGCTAGTAGGGTGGGACTAAGTCCCTTGTACTGCAGCCACTTCTCACCTATTGTACCAGCCTCAGATAATATGTGAGGGTGATTGTGGAGCAATGAAGATTGGCAGGGGAAACCAAAGTACTCAGAGAAAACCTGCCCCAGCGCCACTTTGTCCACCACAAATCCTACTTGACCAGACCCGGGATCAAACCCAGGCCACTGCGGTGGGAAGCCAGCTACTAACTGCTTGAGCTATGGCACGGCCCAACAGTATTATTGTAAGTCTGAATCATGTAAAATTGAACTTCACACCAGCAAAGGAACTTCAGAGATAAATCTGATTACCACAAGAAATGTGAATGAATATTTCATAATTCAGTTACCTGAAACAGGGTTTTTATGAAGGATGAGGACCTCCATGTTGGTACAGTGGTGAACAATGGACTCAACTGCAAAATCTGTGATGTGTATACAGTTGTTAAGACGCAGTTCTCTAAGTGACTCTCGACATTCTCCTTGCACAAGAGCTAAGATGCCTGCATCACTTACCTGAAAGTGAATAACAGTCATTAAAATCTGAAGGTTTAGACTTGCGTATTTTTTAAAGGTAAGCTAAGCCTATTCCAAAGGCATCACTTGGCCAGTTAAATACAACTTAGCATTGTCCAACAAGCATATCATCACAATTAGTACTAAAATAGACCACTCCCATAAGGTTCCTAATCCTAAAATGTTCATTTCTCTGTTAAAGAATTAGTATGACAGGGCCTGCATCAGAACAAATTTCAGACTTCCTGCAAACCCTTCATCACTAGAGGTTCCATGTGATGTGCGTTTAACAAAAATTCATTAACAGATAATAATTTTGTGTAAACTTTTGAGAAATTATTAATATATATTTACATGCAGTTACATTTGACCTCAAAATCTGGAGACACTTAATTGTGCCAAAAAGATATTTTAGGAGCCATGATAGCTCAGTTGGTGTCACAACTAGGCTTAGGGCTAGACAACCTAGAAATCTGGATTCAATTCGTGGTAGAAGCTAGAGACTTTCTCTTCTCCACAGCATCCAGCCTGGCTCGGAGGACCACTCAGCCTCTTATCCAATGGGCCAGTGAGTACCAGGGACTCTTTCCTGGCAGTAAAACAGTTGGGGTATAGAACTGGCCACTTAGCTTCCTCTGGCACTGAGGGTTTTCTTTATTGTAGTGGGGTGGGACTAAGTTCCTTGTACTGTGGCCACTTCTGGCCTATTGTACCAGTCCCAGATGATAGGTGAGGGTGACGGTGGAGCAATTGATGGAATGAAGATTGGCAGAGGAAACCGAAGTACTCAGAGAAAACCTGACCCAGTGCCACTTTGTCCACAAATCCCACTTGACCAGACCTGGGATCGAACCTGGGCTGCCACGGTGGGAAGCCAGCGAATAACTGCTTCGGCTATGGCGTGGCCCTGGCACTGAGGTTAAGTATACGTGGGTCAATACTTTCATTGCCTCAAATATCTTCATGGCATGGTGCTTACTTCAGCTCAGGGACAATGCACTTTTTACCTTTGCCAAGTAGGTATTTTAAGTATCTCTCACATAATCAGATTTTACACCCTTGAGTTATCTGTGTGCAGATTAAACTGGCAAGACTTTTAAAACCTCTTTGGTTACTGATTGTAGCTCCCTGCAGTGTATTAAGTATTGTCTATTACATTTGTTTAAATAAAATGTATTTACAATGATTTGTAGTAGACTTTCTGTTTTATTATTTTACTGCTTGTGTCAGTCCTCTACCATTGAACAAGGTTTGCTTTCTTCTACTGCATGGATATTTGAATGTTTAGTGACCATTAAATACTGATTGATTTTTCAGCGTTGAATGCAGCATGGATAGTGGGTATTTTCAGATTTTTGGATAATCGTCCATGATATGTATGCCGTGTCCGTCTTGTAGTGCACTCAATTTCACCTGTTATTTCACAACATGTTTCGGCAACATAGTGTGAAATAACAGGTGAAATTGAGTGCACTACAAGACGGACACGGCATACATATCATGGACGAAAATCAGTGCAACAGGACGCTAAAATACAACATTTTGGATAATCTGTTGTTTTTTATTATGTGTGTTACTTCTTCCTGCTGTTGCCATGGATAATTAAGAGATCTCTGCATCATAAGACAGATCCATACATGCAATAAAATGACCAGTTTGCATATGCATAAAAAGGGAGCAGTGTCTATACATTCATTCGTATGTTCTTTCAGCTAGCCACCAATCATGGCAGATATTTTAAATATACAAATGTTTATTGTAATTTGAAATGCTAATGCAAATATTTACCTGTGAATGTGATATGTTTAGAGAAGTTAGGTACTTGTGTTTATTTAACAACTTCAGGGATGTATCAGTCACTGCTATGCAGCCACCAATGTCAAGTTTTGTGAGTAATGGGCAATTATTAGCAATGGAAGCTAACACCTCATCCACCACAGCCAAACACTGATTCAGGTATAAAACTGATAAGTATGGTATGTTTGGAAACAGACCCAACAGAACTAGAAACAGAAAACAAACTTATTTATTAATGAATATTTAAAAATTATCCATCTTTAGTTTATTCAGTTAGTATTCATTTTACAAATTTAAAAGAGATGTTGGTAAACACTGGTATATTAGTGAAAGCTCCTACAGCTGTGAGTGTAAACAAACACATAAAAGCACAGAATATTATGTAAGCATCTGAAAAAATTAGGGCCAGAATAAGATGATTCATCTAGGTAATGGAAGACATCAAGAATAGAGGAAACAGATGGCAAAGAAATCAAAGAGGAAGGACTGTGAGAAGAAAAAAGACATTATAGACTTTGTGCATTGACATCTATAAAACAGAATTAGTGCAGTCAGAAGAAGGACCAATATTAGATTTGAGGTTTTGACAGTGGTGACAGTGAAGAGTATGTCTTCTGATATATGATGTTATACTGTCTGGTAGATGTTCACTGATGTTGTGAAGGAACATACTGCCTCCATCTTCAGTGTTGAAGGGGAATCAAGCAAGCAGCAAGTAGAGTATGCCAGAGAGTACAGTATTGCCTCCTAGGAAATTTTTATGCTGAAGAAAACTGCTTGCCTCCTGATGGTCACAGGCTGGGCTTACTCTTTGATGCTGAAGATGCAGACACTACACTCCTCTGAAACGTCTGTGAACTTCTACTGGACTATATGGTATCATGTTTCAGAAGACAATACTTCTTAAAATGGATAACTGTTCACTTTCCAGGCCCCTACTGACCATTTATTTGCTGATTTATTTTTGGTGTATTAATCCTTAAGTTATCCTAACCAGCAGACTTCTGTTCTATCAGTTACTATTCCTGGTAGACTTTCAATGTCACCTTCCATTTTGTGCTGTAATTTCAGGGCTCCTGATGGTGATAGGAAGATCATTATTTACTTTTGGTATCATACAGGTAATGTCAGATTTTATCACATGTGATGATCTTTCAGAAAAAGTCTAGACCATTATCTGCTGCACTGATGAGCTCACTACTGATCCTCACGTGGCTGTCACATTCATTCTGCATCAGAGTACAATGTGTTTGCACACTTGATCCATATTCGGATCCTTACTAAAAACGGTGTACCAATTGCTAACCACATTTTCAACCTAAGTGGCAAATGTGTCTACTTTCTGAACACAATCAGAGTTCACAACCACCTGAATTTGTCTCACATAATCTTCTTTCCACACTGCTGCAAGTCATTCACTGCATGGACCATCTTCTGATGATTTATGATTGCTTTTGAACCATAACATCGTCTGTTTGCCATACATTGTCTCAAGTATCTGCAATGTTTTAATACTGGCAGTTTTTGATGTTAGCACACACATACTGTACTACCTTCTGGGACTTACCATGTCTGCTAGTCTAAGAACAACTGAACAATTTCACTATGTGCAGGGTGTATGTGACGTTCAGTTGAAGTTGTAAAAATTGAGATATTTCACCTTTACCATTTTTTATATGTTTCATTTGTGATAAGATACATTTCCCTGAATCTTGAAATGGCAAACTCATGACTGAAGAAATTGTTCTACATGTTTTAAAATCAATATGTTATCCCACAGTCATTTCCACACAGAAAAAATGGTAAGCAGAAGGGTTAATTAATACATCAGAATTCATCACATTTTAGAGCAGCTGGTCCTTAAAGAATAGTTGACAATAGAATTTTGCATGAAGTCAACTAGTGAAAAACTGACATAAACAAATTACATGATTTATTTAAACCGTCTTGCAGTGCATACACTCATCTATCTCCTTCTCTCACTCGCACTACATGTTTCGGCATAAAATGCCATCCCACAGTCATTTCCACACAGAAAAAATGGTAAGCAGAAGGGTTAATTAATACATCAGAATTCATCACATTTTAGAGCAGCTGGTCCTTAAAGAATAGTTGACAATAGAATTTTGCATGAAGTCAACTACTGAAAAACTGACATAAACAAAGTAGGTGTAAAATGGTTTTCATTCTTCCTTTCTTTAGTTTATTTATGATTTAATGATGATATCAGTAGGTCAGTGTACACATCAGCAAATGGTAGGATGATTAGTGAATAATAAACTGGGAAATNCACACTAGTGCGAAAATAGTGTTACAACTCACCATGTGAAACAAAAGTGAATGAATATTAAACAACATATAAACTTAAAAAAAAAAGCCCCGGTTAAGCCGCAAACCGGTTAATCCGCCCCCGGATAATCGAGAGTTGACTGTATAAAGCAAGAGTGCTAACCACTTGAGATGGCGATGTTTGATGCAGTGGCTTTTATAATCAGATAAGCAATAACACAAATTTCTTCATCTGGACATCTGATTTACAGTCAACATTAAGTTTTATGAAAAACCAATACTGTGTATAGACTGATATTTGAAGAGAGAATAATAAGTGAATACTTATACCTGCTGTACTAATTTCTCTATTTTGGTTTCTTCCTGGATTCAAATCAAGTTTATATAGATGAGTGCATTTATATATTGCACGTACTGAATCATCACTTATACTGCACTCGCTCAAATCCAATGTCTTTACATTTGGATGGAGCAGGCAACACAAAATTTTACTGTTAACACTGCCTCTGTTACAAGCAACTACTAGTAATTTACTTTTCAGAGCAGGCGGTAGCACTTTCACTGTATCAATATACTGCTCCATGCACTGTGCTGCAACATCTGTACACCTGTTCAACAAAATGTTATGTTATAGCTGGCAGGGTAAAAGAATAAGCATGTCAATAAATATTCAGTCAAATAAATAAACTTCACTGTTAATACATATATCCGGATTTATTTTCTCAGAAAATATAATTCACACAGATCACAGTTCAAAGGCGTTCATCAGTTATTTCAGAGAGGAAACTTGGTATATCCAAACTATTCACTTTATAGTAACATCTATTGAGAAGTTTATTTTTAATGTGAGCACTGTCAGAATTAAACTTACATCCACAAATATAATTTCTTCATTACATTTCATCTGCAAATGTTCTGCTTTAGTGAGTACTTTTGATACGTAACAAGGTCAGATGTTACATTAAAGTTACGTCCAGTTAATTTAAGAGCAATATATTAACAATCAGAAGTCTTATATCACTAATATTATATAATTTCTTTTAATACAAAGGGGTTATAGGAGCTGGGATAGCATAGTCAGTATAGCAACTAGCTACAGGCTGGACAACCAAGGGGTCACAGTTTGAATCCTGGAAGGGTCAAGAATTTTCTTCTCCACATCATCCAGGCTGACTCTGGGTTCCACCCAACCTATCCAATGGGTACTGGGATTCAAACCATTTTAATATGCCGGAACAGATGGAAATGAACTGGCACTTCTGCAGCAAGGGATGGAACACTTGGTCCCACATCTGTACCGCATATTTAGAGCCTGTATGGCATATGGATTTATCCCTATGGCCTGGAGGCAAGTCAAAGTGACATGTATTCCAAAGGCCAGGAAATCAGATTATACCAAGGCCAAGGTTTATTGTCCTATCAGCCTGTTGTCTTTCCTATTGAAAACAGCGGAGAAACTATTAGATAGGCACATTAGGGATGGTGCATTGAAGAAGTATCCTCTACCCCAAACCCAGCATGCTTACCAAATAGGTAAAATTACTCAAACTGCACTTCACAATGTGGTAACATGCATAGAAAGTGCTATTGAATACAAGGACATTGCCCTAAGAGCATTCCTTGACATTTGAGTAGAGGGTGCTTTTGATAGAACCTCATTTGATATAAGAAAACAGGTTGCTGAAAAGCATGGCACTGCACTATGCTGGAAAGCAGGAGCATAAATGCTACATTATTGGGAGAGATCCTGGGAGTGTCTGTGATTAGACGGTGTCTGCAGGGAGGAGTGCTTTCACCTATGCTGTGGAGCCTCCTCATGGACGATCTTTGGGAACTCAACAGCAATGGGCATTACACAGTAGGATACGCTGATAATATAGCAATCCATATCAAGGGAAATTATTTCAGACCGTGTCAGAGGTCTTACAAAGAGCCCTGTGCACAGTCCAACAATGGTGCAAAAGAATAAATTTGTCTATCAACCAAAACAAGATGGTAATTATACCCTTTACTACAAAGAGGAATATAAAGGAACTTAAGGAACCAATCCATTTCCACAAAATGATCCAGCTATCCAGTGAAGTCAAGTACTTTGGACTAACATTAGACAAGGCATTGACATGAAAAAAGCAGCTGGACAAGGTTATCAAACAAGGCATATAAGGTCTTCTGGACATGCAGAGGCATNCCACCGCGGCGGCCCGGGTACGATCCAGCGTCTGGTCAAGTGGGATTTGTGGTGGACAAAGTGGCGCTGGGGCAGGTTTTCTCCGAGTACTTCGGTTTCCCCTGCCAATCTTCATTCCATCAATTTCTTCACAATCACCCTCACCTATCATCGGGCTGGTACAATAGGCCAGAAGTGGCCGCAATACAAGAGACTTAGTCCCACCCCACTAGCAATAAATAAGAATAGCGACCTTGTAGCCTCCCGTCCAATGAGTCCTACCGACTGTGTATATAGGATTAAGAAACTGAAGAAGCGGTCAAGGTCCAACAAAAGGAGTGTAGAGCCATAGATACATACTATATTGAGATACTGAAAGCTTCGTTAAATAAACCACGGACGGAATAGGCGAGGTTCAAGATACTTTTTCACGCTGAACTACCTCATCTTGGTTCCCGTTCAAAACGGCAGATGACACTGAGTTATATAAACACTTCTTGCCCAGCGGCAGAATCCTAAAAAGACAGTTCAGGTGTGAGCACTTAATTCCGTCCAGAGAGAAATATTACAGTAAGGTGCATAGAACCGAGAACAACCATTTCACTAACAGCCGAGTATTAACATTTACGTTCACTAAAAGGAAAGAACACGTAAGAGACATGTGGGTACATTCTCAGGGTCTAAAACTCACATTAAACATTCGGTTTACTTTCGAATCTACTAATGTAGGGATGTATAAATATCAGAACTTGGAACAACTCGTGTTTAAAGAATACTATTTCATGGAATATAACTCCTTGTAGTTTGATTCAAGTTCACGGATGTTTCCGAGGAACGTATTATATCCCTCTTCAGGGTAAAATGGAGAGCCAAATGTGCTTGCTCCTTACGTCTTCCTGATTGCTTACTTCGCTCATTTTTCGACTTTGAAGATGGAGGTAGATATATTCTTCCGATACGATAATATTCTATCAGACTACACGGTGTCACATCCTAGAAACAGCTTCACCAACTGTGTACTAAGATCGATCTCGTTTGATATATGGCGCCGTATAGTCTGGTGGAACATTATCAAATGGCTCAGAGGAACACAATTCCTCCATCATCGGGGTAGAAGAGTAAAAAAAAAAGTACGTTTCGGGGAAACTCCGGCCTTCATTTTCAGAGCATAATGTAACATTATTAATATCCCCTGAAGAAGGAGGTGTCAGATTCCTCTGAAAATCTACACGGTGCTACCGCTATGATAGCAGTCTTCATAGTAATTACTGTAGAAGCCGCAGACCTAGCTGTGTATTAAAATTTACGTAAAGGTATGAAAAGGTATAGTTGTCCCCATGCTTAACTAATTAAGCACTATGCCATGAAAGCGTATGGGGGAATGGATGTATAGATCCACGTTTCCTTGACCTCGGCACTAGTTGGAGCTGAGTGGTCACCTTCACGCACCGGCCGCTTTACGCCCGGGGAAAGAGCCCCCGGTACCCAGTGGGTAAGAGGCTGGCTGGGCCACAGACAAGGCCTGGACCAGATGGAGAAGTGGAAATTCCCGACCCTACCGGGACTCGAACTCCGACCCCTCGGCCGTCCAGCCCATAGCCCGTCGCTATACCGGCTCTTATTAACATTTACTCATATTCACTAAAAGCAAGGCAGACGCACAACTTATGTAACAATTTTCTCATGTATCTAATGTTCGTGATTAGAAAGGGAAATTAGTCTCCGTGATTACTTAAGTACCGGGCTAATGAAGACGTATGGAGCAGTGGAAGTATTTTTTTTCTTGGCACTACAGCCCCAGTGGGCCTAGGCCTGTCTCCATGAACTTCTCCATTCACTTCGGTTTTTCTGGATCTTACACTTTCGGTAGGACTCCTTGGGCGGGTGATCAGCTCATCGCAAGGCCTCTACCTGTACACAAACACAGAAAAACGCACACACACAAACTAAACATCCATGCCCTGAGTGGGATTCGAACCCACGATCCCGGTTTCCAAGCGAGCGAAGACAGTACATGCCTTAGACCGCTCAGCTATTGTGACCGGCTCAGTTATCAACTTTACTCATATAAAAATTTTGTACCTTCAAAAGCTATGGGTATGTCGACCTTAATCTTAACTTATACGGGGCCGTGCCATAGTTCAGGGGGTTAGTCGCTGGCTTCCCATCTCGGTGGCCCGGGTTCGATCCTCGGCCAGGTCATGTGGGATTTGTGAACAAGATTACAGTGGGGTTGGTTCTCTCCGAGTACTTTGATTTCCCTGATAATTCTCATTCCACCAACTGATATTTATTGCTCATCCTATCATCGACGCTATATAGTCTCGATAGTGATACTGTCATTAAATAGCAAGCTTTAACTTACATGGACAGTAAGCTTCTCACAGACCCCAACTCGCATTCCGATAACATTTTTCTAACTATCTCGATCTATTTTGTACTGTATATAAACACAACAACTGTAACCAATAAAATGGAAGTCATTTATATTTGTATATTGCTAATCCATCTAGGTTAGTACGCCAAACCACATTAAAAACAGTTCCACTTTCACCTTCCCGCAACTGGCAAAAGTGTTACCAACCAATGCGCCGGGGGGTGACCAATGCTATGTTACCAACGGTTACAAATACTATTCGTTGTTAGGTTGTTAGGGTTGTTAGCGTTGTTAGTAACCTCTTAGTAACGAAGAGACGAAGAGCGTGAAGAGCGTGAAGAGGGCCGGACAAGAGTGAAGCAGAAGCTGTAATTGGGTAGTAGTTGCTGGTGGAATTGAAATAAGTTGTATGGAACTAGAAGTATTTGATATTAAACAATATGTCATATTCTTCTGATGATGTTGGTTCTGGATCGACGAAAGATGGGGATCACGATCTTCAGGAGTTCTTATTGATGGAAAAGCAGAAAGCACAGCTTAATGCACAGGTATGATTAACCATGCGAAATATAGATGATAATTTAACATTTTTGTTGAACCTGTTCATGCATAACATATTCTAATCAGCACCAACGAAACTGCCCTGTGATATGATCAGAATATTTAGCTCTGGGCAAAGTGTTGATGGATAGATTAATGGTAAGTCGATCACAGTGGCCGCACGGTCTGAGGTATGAATTGTTATCGCTCCCTCGAAAACTGGGATTGTGGCTTCGAATCCCACACTAGACACGGATATCTGTGTTGCGTTTATTCTATGGTTATGTTATGTTCTTTGTGTAGGCAGTGGCCTTGCGACGGTATGATCCCCCGTCCAAGGAGTCCTACCAACTGTGTAATGATTGAGAAATTGAAAAAGTGGCCAAGGTCCTCAAGGGCAGTAGAGCCATAGATAGATAGATAGACTAGCGGTAGTGCTGTAATTGATTGTGAATAAGAGAGATCTTAAACAAGTTGTTGATAAATCCAATCATCCGGTCCAGAACCCATTATTATTAGTCACGGAACCCCGGACATGCGACAGTATTTCAATCTGACTAAGTTCCAATCTCAGGAAACTGAATGAGGTAGAAGGAAAAGAACAGTCAGGTTAAAATTTCAAACAGGCTCGCAGCTTTGGAAAATTTGGATGATAATGTGGATATTAATACAGCCTGGGAAACTTTTAGAGAGAACATCAAGATATCAACCAGAGAGTACAGGTTATTACAAACTGAAGTGGTATGAGCCGTGGTTGAATGTAGATGTTGAAATATATTAGATTGAAGAAACAAGCCAGACTGCAGTGGTTACAGGATGCAAGGTGTGAAGCTACCAGATATATCAGGAATGCCTGAAAGAGAATTAATGAACTTGCAGCGTACAGTAGGAAGGACATTAGAGGTTTATAAAGGAGAATAAATTAATTTAAGAAGGGTTACCAACCTAGAAGTAACTTTGTAAATGAGGAGGATGGTGATCTGCTTGCAGATTTAAACAGCATTTTGAATAGGTGTTAAAATTCGCTCATCAACTGAATGTGGACAGGATTGGTAATGTTGGGCATACTAGCTGAGCCATTAGTACTTCAGCCTAGTCCTTTTGAAGGGGACATCACTGTTACATGGTTGAAAATGTGTAAATTGCCAGGTATGGCTCAAATTCCAGAAGAACCGATGCAAGCAGGAGGTGAAATGTTGTTTTCTGAAATCCATAAGCTCACTAATTCTATTGGAAATAAGGAAGAATTGTTTGAGCAGTGGAAGGAGTCTTTTATAGCAATTTACAATATGGGTGATAAAACTGACTGGTAATTATTGAGGCATATTACTGTTATCAGCTTCATGCAAAATGTTATCCAGTATCCTTCTCCAAAGTTAAAGCCCATACATAAACAGAATTATTGGGGATCATCAGTGTGGGTTTCAATGTAACAGATCAGCTACTGATCAGATTTTTTGCATTCGTCAGATACTGTTGAAACACATTAGTACAATGAGACAGTACATCATCTATTCCTGGGTTTAAAGAAAGACTATGGCTTAGGAGGGAAATGTTGTACAATGTTTTTATTGAGTTTAGGGTACCTATAAAAGTAGTTGTCCTTATTAAAATGTGTTTAAATGAAGCCTATAGTAAAGTTCATATAGGTAAGTGTTTGTCTGATATATTTCTTATTACAAATGGTAAAAAAGCAAGGAGATGCTTTGTGGGAGCCTACCTCAGTGCATCTCCAAGGCAACTACAAACTTCTGGTCGACCAGCAGAGTGAAACAAGCGCTAGCCATTCAGCACAGGCCTCAGCAGCACCAACACACATTGGGCCTGTCACTGCTAGCAACAGTGGATAAAGATGCGGACCACATCACACTAATCAGTTATCCTCTCGTCAGAGAGGGCACCCCACATTGACAAGATAGTCAACTCTCGAAGGGAAACTAATATCCGGTCTCAACACCAGGACAGCATCTGGAGTGCACACAGCAATAGCAGCCGTCCAAACAGTAATGCACCAACTGACTTTGAAAGTAGTTGCCTTGACCCTTGAGAAGCCCTCTGTCAGCGCTTGCCACTCTGTGGCTGGCTAGCACTCACCTGGCTACCGAACAACGAAGGACCACTGTCGCTCACACAAACCAGCAGGATGTAGCTGGATCTTCACCAGCATTCATCAGGGATTTGCTTGGTTGTCTATCTAAACACTGGAACCAACATTCCACAGCTTTATTGCCATTGCTTTTTAACTTTACTTTAGAGTATGCCATTAGGAAGGTATGAGAAAACCAGGTGGGATGGAATTAAATGGATCAT